ATGTTTATTTTGCTTCTCTCTCTCTCACTCACTCAATGGAAATAAATGAAAACCACCTAAATTATAAATATATAAATTATACAATCAAATGATAAATTATACATAAATATGCAAATTGACAAAAATCATTTTAATTTACATAAAAGTATAATAACTACAATTAATTGATTTAGGTGGTCCAATAGATATGCGCAAACAGGTGGGTGCGTTTGCAATGGACGTGATCTCGTGCTGCGCGTACGGCATAGACGTCGAGTCTATGACTAATCCCAATCATCCCATTGTATTAAACGCCAGCAAAATATTGAGTAGTGATCCGCGACCAGGAATAATAGTGTCGGCGCTTTTTCCGGCATTTGCCAAACTAATAGGCGCCGAACCGTTTGACGTAGATGCTTGTAAATATTTCGATGATTTGACCAAGAAAATTATTGAGGAGAGAAAGAAGCAAAATAAACATGGCACCAGCAATGATAAAGGTGAGTTTGTGCTGTATTTAATTTTATCATTTTATTTATGAAATATTTAAGGCACTGAAATTGTCACTAAAACTAAAAATTTATATAAATTAATATTATGTTAGCCCTATAGTTAATAAAGTGTATAAAAGTTATCAATATATGAAAAACTGTAATAAATGATTTAAATTTTTTTTATAATAATTAGATTGTAAAGAATATGTTAATTTTGGAAAACTTTATATTTGTATTCATTTTATAATATAAAATACATAAAGATAATCATTATTTTAACATTTTAATTTAACTAAACATTATTATTACATATCTTTAGCCAAACGGCGCACAGATTTTATACAACTAATGATAGACTCGGAAAAGTCGGACAAAGACTTGGGTTACGACTCCATCAGCGATGCGGAGCCGGAAGAGGACAAAATATATGGCGACAAATCGGTGGCAAAACCATCGGGCACTCTATCACCGGATGAAATGGTAGCCCAGGCCATTTTATTTTACATCGCCGGTTACGACACTACCAGCGCTGCCATAACCCACGCCCTGTACTTCTTGTCCCAAAACAAGGACTGTCAGCAAAAACTATGCGAAGAGTTGCGAAGTTGTGATGAGTTTACGTACGAAAAGTTATCGCAACTGAAATACTTGAATGGCGTAATCCATGAGACACTACGACTGCGGCCATCGTTTGCTCGGCTATTCCGGGCCTGTGTTCAGGACTATAAGTTGGGAAATACCGGTACGTAAACAATAAGCATTACGTTTACCAAATATCCAATAATATTATTTAAATACATAATAGCTTAAATAATCAATAATTTTTTTTAACTTATTCTAAATACGTTTATTTTAATTTATCAATCAACTAGGTATTACCATACCAGCGGGAACCGCCGTCAACATAAACTTATATACCTTACACCGGGATCCCAAATACTGGCCCAATCCCGACAAGTTTGATCCCGAGCGCTGGTTTGAGCCCAAACACCATCCGTACGCTTACCTGCCGTTCGGCGCCGGACCCCGACTATGCATTGGACAACGGTTTGCCATAAATGAAATGCAAATGTGCCTGGCTAAAATGATACGAAAGTTTGAGTTCACCATGGTGCCCGGATTTGAAATTGAATATTTTAGAGGTCAACCAGCCATGTCGCCCAAGGAGTTGCAGTGTAATTTAAAGTTGCGTGCTTAATTCATATAAAGTTTGTTTGTTGTTATGATAGTTTGTCAAACTTACATAGCACATTTGCATTATACCTGTTTTTCATATTTAATTTTATATTAATATAATTTTTGTCTAATTTTAAACAATATTATAAATGAAACATGTTAATTATGATTAATAACAAAATTTTTAATGTCAACTAATATTTTATTTTATTAAAAGTTTAACACTTGTAAAATGTTTTTAATGGGTTGTTTACTTTAATATTTAATAAAAATATTAAAAATTACTATTAACAGTTGCACTGTATAATAGAAATTAATTTATTAATGATGTATATGGCACTATTTTATAAATTGCTCTCAATATTTAAAATTATTCTCGATAGGTAAAAGTGATTTGAACTAACATGATTGAAAATTTGATTAAACAAACTTGAAATTTTATTAGTTTTTATTGCATAAATTGCATTATTTGAATGTTATAAGATCTACAGTATAGTAAACATCCTTATATCTGTATGATAAATTTTAAAAACATGTTTATCATAAATAATGAGTCATTATACAAATGGCGTATAATTAATTTTATAAAATTGGCAACAAATAAATGTTGCCAAAAATAGCCATATACATTAAGGCAAACAATAAATTAAACATCTAAATTAAAACGGCCAGTGTCCTTTTCTTTCTGAATGATCAAGTACAAATAAATGACTGTAAACACTGTACACACGACGTGTGACACAAAGGTGAACCAAAACTGATCAGACAGCTTAACCAAGTCTGCTATAGCAGCGCCTATGGTCAGCACCAGTAGAAATGCGACCATCCATTTGTTTTCCCTGACAATACCTCTGAAACCAACGATGGATATCAGTAGCCCTAATACAGCGCCGACCACCGATAATATCTCTATATGAACAAGGTGATAAATATTGTTAATAAATTTTACTACATTTACACATTATGTATTATAAATTTACATCTAATTATTTTCTAGATATTAGATAAACAGTGTACAAAATAATCATGGTCAGTAATTACTATGGCAGATTTTGTATGCGAATTAAGATGCCATCATAACAAACATGGTTATTTCATACACTTTACATAATTATGGTGAAAATATTGTACGCATTATTTAATCTAATATTAATCATATTCAATAAAAATAGTTACCTGCAGTTGTATTATCTCCTTTTTGATGGTCGCTCAACGCTATACTGCGGACTACAATCAGATATATACTGGCGATCGTTGTGAACACATACAGCACTTCCATACAGATCTTGACGCCTCGAAATGTTTTATAGTTAGTGAACGCCATTATTATTGCCGACAATATTAAGTAATGTCAATAGTTGTCAATAACTATGGACTTATAGCTGTGAGTATTTTGCACGTGAATGTGAAATGTCAATGACTATTACATTAATACACAGATCAAAACACCGATGTTATGATTTGAATGCGTGTACTGTTAAAGCGCAGGTTTGTTATGCGCTGCCATAACAACGTACGGATGAGTCATGTATTGACACTTTTATGTCTATTTCTACGTTTTATTTCTACAATATTTTACACACAATTGTACTGTCAATATGTTTTGCTACACGATTCTTGTATTACCGCATACTGTTTTGTGGTAAGTAGACACAAGCGCGAAAGAAACTAGTTCAAAAATAAAAAATTTGAAAACACGAGCTATGTCATAATATGTAATATTGCAAATATGTATAGTTAGCAACTATTTACTGTTAATAACAATTTAATTAATAAAGTACCTAGTAAATTCTAGTAAAAATTAAAATTAATATTTTAACATTTCAAAAATACAAATCATTATTTGTCTGACTTCAAAGTTAATTATCATTGTTTTAAAATAAGTATTAGTAATGTCACATTACAATGCACTTTAATGATATTAGTTAAATCTTACTTAAGACTGTTAGATACAGTTAATAAACATGTTTTAAATGAGCTTTACAAAATATTAACCATAGTATTTACAAGTTATATTAAAATATTTATATAATAGTTAGTATATATTGTCATGAATTTTAATATATTCGTCGCAAGTTTTGTTTTAACTTTATTCTCAATTTTATGTGTGAGAGGGCATCAAAGCCACAACTTCCACGTATGTAATCATAATTAAAAAATCACATATTTACGAGATTCAACAACAGGGTAAATATGCGGCACCGGTAGGACAGGGGCCACACGGAGGACATGGAGTTCACGCACCAAATCCAGTGACAACAACGGCCGCACCTGGAAAGTTGTGGGATAAATACGGGTCACACGGTTTCATCTATAATTTAGAGTATAGACATTTTTAATTCATTGTATATTTTATATAATATAAATTATATTCATTATATTTAAATAAATAAATAAATAATATTTATTTGATTTATATTAAAGTCATTTGCGAGAAGAGGCGAGTATTGTGCTGTATATGAAAGATGCGAATCAGATAACCCATGAGGAGTCGTACCTGTATTTCATTAAACTACACGACTTTAATAGCGACGGCAAACTCGACGGATTAGGTACTGATTTGTGATGTTTTTTAGTATAATTATTTACACATTATATAAATTTTATTAAATCTTAATACATTAAATTCATTTATATACAGAACTTTTGTTAGCGTACAAACATTCATTAATTCATACTGACGTTAGCCATGAATTTACGCCATTGGAGGACATGTCGGGTATTTAATTGAAATTATATAAAATCTAATTATTTAAATATAATATATATTTCAGATTATGTGGACTCAATGCTAACTGCAATGGATGTGAATAACGATGGATTTGTTGATTACGGAGAGATCTATACTGCTATGGAGTGACACATTAACACACAATAATTGTTTTGTAAATTAATTAAATAATATTTATAATTTGTTATAAAATAAACGCAAGAGTTGTTTACAAATAGGTTTTTGGCCAATTTTGTGACCACGTTTGCTGGTTAGCACATATAAATACATTTAAAAACATTAATAAAACCTATAAAAATTTAAAAATTACAACTTAACTTAAATATTGATACAGTTATACGTGAAAATATTTAATAATTTTAGTTCTATGTCAAAATTAACTGAATACAATATTTTGCTCGCTTTTTTGGTAGCTATTGCTGTCAGGTCCGGTTCGGTACTGTTTCTGTGGCCGATTCTTGAGCCGGGTTAAAATACCAGTTTGAGGATTGTAACTACAACGACTGGGTCGAACTGTAGTACTTATGGGTTGATCAGTAGTGACAGTACTTATTGGCCGTTCAGTAGAGACAATACTTGGGTACCCATAAGTATTGACAGCATTTATGAGCCGATCATTAGAAACAATATTTACGGGCCGTTCAGTAGAGACAGTACTCATGTTTTGATTATCGGGGTAATAAAATTGTGTATCCAATTCCAGCACCTGTTTAGCCAATTGGTTCAGCTCGAGCTCTTCGGCCGGCGATACGTTCGCGGCGTTTAAATTAATAACATTTGTATATAAATTGAGAGCAACATTTTCATCAGGGTGGTCAAAGTTTTTAAGCAACAACATGGTGTCGGACAACTGGCTGGGCTGATACTGGTACACCTGACTTTTAAGGTACGCGTACAATTGTTGCATGCGCCAAATGGGCAGCGCTAATATGACCATCAACCTGACCAGCGAACCACGTTCAATTTCGCGCTTAATTAAGTTGTGATATTCAATGTCCGTCTCATTCATCGGCCGGTGCTTTATGTCGCCGTCGACTCCACTCAATAATTCGGTGAATTCGGCAAAAAATTGGTCCATTTGTGACATTCCGGCGGTCATAGTGTTGACCATTCGGTCCAGTTTTTGGCCACTTTGATCATCTTTGGCCAAACCGCGGCATATTGTCAGCAAATCGACGCGTGCTATTCATTGAAACAATGCATTGAGATATTTATATTGTTAATATATTAATTACTGTTTAGTAGTCTATATTTTTGTATTCAAAAAAATTTGTAAGTTAGCTTTTACACCTGTCTCTTGTTTTTACCCTGTAAAATAATTCTTAATGCACAAAAAATTTTCAATAAATACTTATTTTATTTTGTCGAATCTAAACTGCCAAGCCACTATGTTACACGCCCTATTTACATTTGACGTGTTGTGGTTAACATAATGCACGTGACATTTACCCTGTTTTAATTACATTATAGTTTGTTTAATTACTTTTAATCATTTCTTTAAGTTTGTTCAAAAAGGTCCGACCGATCCGTTTGTTTTCATCCGTCAATTCTGCGTTCATTAGTATCTTTTGGACGTATTCTGTGGTAAACTTCTTCTCCATAGAGTCGGTCAACGATTCCAACACTCGATCACTTAATTGTTTGACCGGATGTTCACTACTCGTTGCCTGACTTATATCCCTGTATTTTGTGGGAATTGTGTTTATTATTTAATATAATTAGATTTACAAATTAATAAAATTATTTGATTTATTAATTAACATAAATTACAGGTTTAACTATCAATCACAATAACAATGTTAACATTTTATACACACCTGGTTTGAGGGGAAGTTTTGACCTGGTTGAACAAGTAAAATAATAACGCATACTTTATTATCATTATTTTGTAAATATAATTTAGTTAATTTGATTTAGTAAAACAATTATGATGTAATACTGATTTAGACAACGTTCAATTTTAATTAACTAAATTAAATTTTATACCATATTTGCTAATAGATTTTTATTATGAATTTATTTAATTATAAATATTTTATGAAACAAATAAATAATTTAATATTATGTTTATGGAGAAAATTGCAAAAGTGTAGTTTTTTAAAACATCCTACTGTTGATAAATATTCTGCGTTATTGTTTTTTCTAAACAAATATTTTTCAAAATAATAGAGTTTACTTTTATAATAATCAACCTGTATAATTAGTTATTAACTAGCATGCATTTTAAATTAGTATTTTCAAGCTATATCGTTTTTATAAAAAGTTATTTAAGTTTATTAAATTTAAAACTATTACATATAAATATAGAAATTATAAATATATTTTATTTGTCAACATATTGTTATAACTGTTATATATTACATATACTGTATTGTATCATAAATCATAGTCTAGTGCATTTAACGACAGCTACATGTAACTGTACAATTATTCTGATTTATTATGATAATTTTAGAATATCCATATACACCATGTACTTGTTTGCACTATTACTACTATTCAATATTTCATACAATCAATGTATGTCAGGGCATTTTAATTATTTATAATAAATAGCAATATTACATATGATATTAAATGTTAAAATTATAATATTTATTTACAAATAAAATAATAATAATTGTAATAAAAAACTACCATACCTAACACATAATTCACTGTACTAACTTGCACTAACAAATACCTTGGTGGTATATGCAGTTTATTATCTAATCATATTTTAACATTATTTTAATAGGTGAAAACAAGTCACAAATGTACTGTATATAAATATAGTATTAGCATATAAGAAACATTACATAAATTGTATAACACAACTTGTAACGAGTTATAATATAATTGTTGTTTTTTAAGTTATAGTTAATATATTAATTGTTGTAATTTATTCTAAATAAATAGCAAGTTAATTTAATTATGGATCTGTTGACAACATTAAGTGTCGGTGTAGTGTTAATAACGCTACTAATTGGGTAACTATTAAATTGTTTAAATATGTTTAAAAAACTAATTTTTCTAATTATGAAATTATTTTATTTAGTTACCTGCGACATCGCTACACATACTGGTCCCGGCACGGAGTGCCCGGCAAAAACTACGTGGACATTATGCAGTTTAATAAATACACACACGAGTATGACCAGGAGCAAACTAGAAAATACGGCCGCATATATGGCATGTACACAATATCGGGCAAAACCATAATGATCAACGACCCGGAGCTGTTGAGAGACATATTTATCAAGGACTTTGACAAATTTCCCGATCATATAAACAATTTCCACTTTGGCAGTTCGCCACTGAGCAAGATGCTATTTTTCATGCCGGGTGATCAGCGTTGGAAACGCGCGCGTAATATAATTACGCCGGGGTTTACGTCGGGAAAGTTACGCGCAATGATGACACACATTACGGATAACGTCGATCGGTTTGTCGACAGACTGACTCAGTACGAACTAACAGGTACATTTTTACAATTTTAAATTTATGAACTTATAATTAATGTTTTAATCTAATTAGAATAGTATCAAAAAATTATGGTAGATTCGCTATTCTCACACCAGTTTACTAATTAATCATAACACTTATATGTATACAAAATTATTTTTAAAACTAATTACAGTATTTTTTATATTTATATTAATTAGGCAAGGTGATTGATATGCGTAAATATATGGGGGCGTATACCATGGACAATATGGGTGCGTGTGCGTTTGGAATCGAGCTCAATTCGCTTGAAAACCCTAATCACCCAGTGTTGACCAACGTTAAGAAGTTGTTGGATCCGCCCCTCACTGTGGCTGTTATGATATCAGCATTTTTCTGTGGCTTAGCCCGACTGTTAGGTAGCGAACCCTTTGACCTGCGAGCGGCCCAATACTTTACAGATTTGACCAAGAGCATCATCGACGAACGAAAACATCATAATAAATACTTAAATAATGATAAATGTACACGTTTATTATAACACTTTACGTGCTCTATAACCATAATGATTATTTTAATTATTTACCATAAACTAACTTTCAGACCAAAAGCGCACGGATTTTATTCAACTCATGTTAGACGCGGAGAAAAACGACGAAGACTTGGGTTACGACACGTCCGCCGCCGGCAATGAAGTGCCGGACAGCGAGACTTCAATTAACAAAAAACCGGTCGGAATACTAACCCCCGAAGAGATTACCGCAAACTGTCTCTCATTTTTTATGGCCGGTTACGACACCACATCCAGTGCCCTAACCCACGCCCTATACAATTTATGCCAACACCCGGACTGTCAACAACGGCTATACGAAGAGCTGCGCGATTGCGATGATATGTCGCCCGAAACGGTATTTCACTTGAAATACTTGGACGCCGTTATCACCGAAACCTTACGACTCGCGCCCTCTTTTGTACGCCTGTTTCGTACGTGTGTTCAGGACTACAAACTGGGAAATACCGGTACGTATTTAGTGAACTTTTTATTGTTAGAATTAATATTTTAGCTTAATGTTAATTGATTTAATTAATTTGTTATTTTTATTTTCCACCCTAAGGCATTACAATACCGGCCGACACAGCGGTGTTGATCAGTTCATACGTTATACAGCGTGACCCGCAATACTGGCCAAACCCGGATCAATTTCAACCTGATCGTTTCTTAAAACCCACTCACGATCAATACGCATATGTAACTTTTGGTCGTGGACAACGAATGTGCCTAGGTGAACGGTTTGCTATTAACCAGATGAAACTATGCATGGCCAAATTATTGTTAAAGTTTGAATTCAGCTTGGTGCCTGGTTTTAAGATGGAATATACAAAATTTGACCCAACCATTTCACCCGAAAAACTTATGTGTAATTTTAAATTAAGAAATTAGTACAAACTCTAAAAATGTTTATACATAATTATAATGAAATTTTATTAACTAATGTAACTAAACTTGATTATTAAATAATAACTAATATATGCTAAAAGCTAAAAGAGATTAATGTAAAATTATAAAATTAAATATAAAATTTCCAAACAAAGCTATAAATTATATTATAAGAATTTAATAAAATATTTAAATATACATATAATTTGTTGTTAAAATGTTATGTAAAATAAAAGGTTAAATAAACTTATAGCCCAATAAAATTATTTTTAAATTTTTGAAAAATATTGATAAAAACATTTAATTTATTAAAACATTTATTTTTTGAATATTATAAGACATTTTTTGTAAATATAAAATCTATGTTTACAGAATTTATATATTAATAGATTTAAATTATTAATAATTTCTTTTATTTATAACAGATTATGAACATATTTCAATTTAAAAATAATTTATTTTACTAATTTTCTAATATAACTTGCTAAACAACATAATCATATTAACCACGATATCTAAATAATACCATAATATTTCAAATTTTTATTTATAATTAATAATTATTTTAAATTTATAATTTCATCATAAATAGCTAGTAAAGTTTAATAGTTTTATTTAGTTAACTTTATTTGTACAATAATATTAATATTAAGCTAATAAATTATTGATAATACTTTGGTGCATTTAACTACACCACCATGTAAACGTACTACACAAATGTAAATCATAATGTAATATAAATTCAAACTGCACTTATGCACTAAAAGCGACATTATTAAAGTATAATCAAGGTCTATTTAGCTATTTATAATATTATAAACTAATAATTTATATATTAATTTTATTTAATTGAGTATTAATAATAATAGATGTTGTAAATTAAGTATAATAAGTTATAAAAATATTAATGAGTTAAATAATTAGTATATAATTTTTCAAAACCTACCTTGCTGCTCTATAAATTAATATTTACTTTTTATCTAATCAATGACTTGCGCTGACAAAGTATAAAAACAAACCTAATGGTATATAAAGGCGGTAGGTTACCATAAGTTTTAACATTAAACATAGCAAAATAATAATTTATAATAATAATTAAATAATTTTTTTGTAATTTGATCATTATAAAAATTAAATAGTAATGGATTTATTGACATTTATAAGTGTGTTAGCGGTGTTTCTAACACTAATCATTGGGTAAATATTTAACTGTTAATGTCATGTATGTTAAAATATTAATTTCTACCTTAACCAACTAATTGGATCTAGTTATCTACGGCACCGGTACTCATACTGGACTCGGCATGGAGTGCCAGGCAAAAACTATATCGACTTTTCATGGTTATTTAAATACACACACCTGTACGACCAGGATCAAACGAAAAAATTCGGTCCCATATTTG